TTGGCTCCGCGGGCGAGCTAAAAACTGCTCGCCGCCTAAACAGGGTCGGGGTGGGATGTTCAGACGGGCCTTCAGGGAGTAGTGGTCCGACCATGGTACTGCCGTAGCAGTAATCCGGTCCACTGTCATCCCCGCAGCGAAGATCAGATCGAGCGTGTGCCCGGCCTGGTGCGTAGGGACCGTTACACACTGGGAGAGCCCCAGTGCCTCCATGGACGACACTAGGTCTGTAACCCGGCCGGAGGCCGCGTCCTCGGCATGGACGTTGAAGTCACCCAAGACCAGAAGCCTCGGGTGCTCCAACGCCCAGCCAGACACGGCCTCCAGCAGGGACGGCAGGCTACTGGCCGGTGCGTTAGGCGGTCGGTACACTAGCCAGATAGCCAAGTTCTCCTCAGTCTCCAGCACCAGGCCGGCACATTCTATGCCCGCAATCTCCGGTGAGGGGAGGGCCCTGAAGGAGTAAGCCTCCCGGACGAACAACGCCACTCCTCCCCCCCGCCCCTTAGTCCGTGATTGGTGTATGACCGGGAACCCAGGCGGGGCAAGTTGGGAGAGAGCAACTGTCTCCCCGTCCCGCACCCAGGTCTCAGTCATGCACGCCAGGTCCACTTGTTGTTCCATGACGAAGTCCCGAAGGACTATCGTCTTGTTATTAACGGACCTGGCGTTACAGAGCACCAATGACGGAGAGGGGTTCTTCCGAGCCCCACTGCTGACCTCCCTGGGGATGGGTCGTAGGCTGGAAGGGCACCGAGCCATCTTTTTTCTCGGGGCTCTTCCCTTGATATTCTGCCTAGACCCACGGAGCAAAACGGAGAGGAGAGGAGGGTTGCACGTGGCTGGATTTGCCTGGAGGCTCCAGAGGCGCTGCCTGTGTTTCAGAGATTTATCTTGAACGTGGCTGGGGGCTGTATAGGACGATGAAGGGCATCAGCCATGCTTGTTGGCTCTTCCCGCATCGCTGGCCCCAGCAGTGCTGCCAGGGGCTTGTCTGTGTGGACAGCAACCTGGCCCTGGCTGCCGAGCAAAATGATCCGGTGTGCTGCTGTTGGTCCAGTTATGCCAGAGGGTCGCCTACCCCTGGGTTAGACTGGAAGCATTATTGGCCCAGGCCCACGCAGTGAGCTTGATGACCAAGCGAGGATTCAAACCTAGGTCCCAGGTAAAGTTATGGAAGACAGCTGATAGAATGTGAACAGGCTCCGGCAGTTGTGCAGACCTGTTGTCTAAATGGGGCAAAGTACCAGGACCCGTATGCAATTGTGGTGCAGCCCGCCAAACTATTTTCCATCTCTCACAGGAATGTGAGCGTTGTGCCCAGGGAGATGTGATGGAGCTCTTTGAACTCTCCCCAGCTGTGATTGAGAGGACTGAAAATTTAAATATTAGTATTTAGGGGGATTGCATGCCTGGTATATCGAGTTCGTTATGTATTTTATATTATTATATGCTTCCTGAGTAAGTACAATAAGTAAATAATAAGTAAATAATAAATAATTAATAAATAAGTAAATAATAATAGATGTGGAAGTCAAGAAAAGGCATAAGAGGAGAAAAGTGAGCAAAACGAGGTATGGGGGAAATTAAATATGCTGCTGAGTTAAGAACAAAGGAGAGGGATGGATGCAAATTAGAAAGAACAGAATTATGATTGTGAAGACAGGGAGGTGTGACATTGTCTTTGCCGTAGCAGCCTTCCCCCCAAGGTCACAGTAGCCCATTCTACATCTAGCATTTGCTCCGCTGTTTTACCAAACCCATGTTGGAACAGAAATTCCCCTCTACACTGCATGCTGCTTTCACTTTCTTTGATTGTCGGATGTTATGGTACCTTCCACACTGCATGTCGGTTTCACTTCCTTTAATCTCTCGGTTTTATGGTACCATCTGCATAGATGTCCGTTTTATGGCCTTTCAGGGGTGACTCAGCAGTCAGTATGGCATTGGCCCGGGCAGGGCTATTTTGGGGCAGGAACGCACAGGAACGGAGTTCCGGCTGGCTCCCAAGTTGGCCACGCCCAGCAGGAACTCATTAGCATAACAGGCCACACCCAACAGCAGAAACTCATTAGGATTGGCTACATTAGGGGTGTGTGGCCTAACATGCAAAGGAGTTCCTGCTACAAAAAAAGGCCCTGGGTTTTGACAACAAACAAGGTAAACAGAATAACAAGCAAAAGGTGGGTGTGGCTGGATAACCACACTTCTGGTAACATGAGGGTGCAGCCTAATATGCTAATGAGCTGTGCTATCAGGGGTGTGGCCTAATATGCTAATGAGTTTTTGCTGTTGGGTGTGGCCTATTATGCTAATGAGTTCCTGCTGGGCTTTTTCTACAAAAGGATCCCTGGGCCCGGGGTATTTGAATGTGGTTTTGAGCCTCATCCTTTTCTGTTCTAGTGTGGGTTTGGTAAAACAATGGTGCGAATGCTAGATGCAGAATGGGCCACTGAGTGGCTCCTCTTTTCTCCACCACCCTGCCCCAGGTTTCTTGATGAGTACGCCAAGCGCAATCTGACCTTCTGGGCGTTAACAGCTGAGAATGAACCCACGGCTGGATTGATGGCCAATTATCCCTTCCAGTGCTTGGGGTTCACACCTGAGCAGCAGCGGGACTTCATTGCGCTGGATCTGGGCCCCGCCCTGGTGAACAGCTCTCACAAGGATGTCCGCCTCATCATCCTGGATGACAATCGAGTGCATCTGCCTCATTGGGCGAAAGTGGTGAGTACTGCCGATTTGTCTGGTTCGGAGCTGTTTGTACGCAGTGGGCCAGTGGCTCTGTAGGAACAAGAAAAGGGGAGTAGAAATCAGCTTACGAAAGGAGGAAAAGAAGCAGGTCTCTAGTCCACGCTGTGAAAGCCTGCTGGAATCTTGGAAGCCCCCAAGGATGGCAAGTTTCTAGTCCTTGTCGCGATGAGATGCTTGGTAGTGCATGGCTAACGTCTTGCTGAAATGGCAGCAGTTGGTAGTTAGGCACAGGGCCGCAGTGCCCTGTGTGGGTTCTTTGACCAGTAGAGTAAACCCATTTTGGGTGCATGGCAGAAAAGTGGTAAGTATTTTACGTAAATAGATAAATGAAACATAGTATTTTTTTAAAAGAGCAGACTCGGGCAAAGTACACTGGATATTGATACCGGCTGCAAAACTCAGCTTTACTTGGTTTAGAATTTCAGTTGATTTATTGCAGAATTACTCCCCCTGAACACAAATGTGAGTATAAAATGTCCCCCGCCCACAAAAATGTGAGTGTAGATAACACCGAGCCTCCTGGGGCCTAAGCAGGTTTTTTTTTAATGGCTGTTGGCCTTGGCCCTTCCTCACCCGGAGTAATTGACACATGGAATTCACTGCTGCAGGAAGTGGTGGTGGCTACAAGCATAGACTGCTTCAAGGGGGGATTGGATATACATATGGAGCAGAGGTTCATGAGTGGCTATTAGTCACAAGGTATAGATGGACCACTCTGTCTGGGGCAGTGATGCTCTGTATTTTTGGTGCTCGGGGTGGGGTGGGGGACAGTGGGAGGGGCTTCTGGAGTTCTGGCCCCACTGGTGGACCTCCTGATGGCCCCTGGTAATTTTGGCCACTGTGTGGCACAGAGCGTTGGACTGGATGGGCCACTGGACTGATCCAACATGGTTTCTCTTATGTTCTTGGTGCTTGGGGGGAGGCAACAGTGGGAGGGCTTCTGGAGTTCTGGCCCCACTGGTGGACCTCCTGATGGCCCCTGGTAATTTTGGCCACTGTGTGGCACAGAGCGTTGGACTGGATGGGCCACTGGACTGATCCAACATGGTTTCTCTTATGTTCTTGGTGCTTGGGGGGAGGCAACAGTGGGAGGGCTTCTGGAGTTCTGGCCCCACTGGTGGACCTCCTGATGGCCCCTGGTAATTTTGGCCACTGTGTGGCACAGAGCGTTGGACTGGATGGGCCACTGGACTGATCCAACATGGTTTCTCTTATGTTCTTGGTGCTTGGGGGGAGGCAACAGTGGGAGGGCTTCTGGAGTTCTGGCCCCACTGGTGGACCTCCTGATGGCCCCTGGTAATTTTGGCCACTGTGTGGCACAGAGCGTTGGACTGGATGGGCCACTGGACTGATCCAACATGGTTTCTCTTATGTTCTTGGTGCTTGGGGGGAGGCAACAGTGGGAGGGCTTCTGGAGTTCTGGCCCCACTGGTGGACCTCCTGATGGCCCCTGGTAATTTTGGCCACTGTGTGGCACAGAGCGTTGGACTGGATGGGCCACTGGACTGATCCAACATGGTTTCTCTTATGTTCTTGGTGCTTGGGGGGAGGCAACAGTGGGAGGGCTTCTGGAGTTCTGGCCCCACTGGTGGACCTCCTGATGGCCCCTGGTAATTTTGGCCACTGTGTGGCACAGAGCGTTGGACTGGATGGGCCACTGGACTGATCCAACATGGTTTCTCTTATGTTCTTGGTGCTTGGGGGGAGGCAACAGTGGGAGGGCTTCTGGAGTTCTGGCCCCACTGGTGGACCTCCTGATGGCCCCTGGTAATTTTGGCCACTGTGTGGCACAGAGCGTTGGACTGGATGGGCCACTGGACTGATCCAACATGGTTTCTCTTATGTTCTTGGTGCTTGGGGGGAGGCAACAGTGGGAGGGCTTCTGGAGTTCTGGCCCCACTGGTGGACCTCCTGATGGCCCCTGGTAATTTTGGCCACTGTGTGGCACAGAGCGTTGGACTGGATGGGCCACTCTCTGATGTTCTTATGCCCCTTGCTTTGATTAGTCACGGTCCTTCCCCCTTCTCTTTCCAAACTCCCCCTTCCCTGTAGGAATATTTCCTGTTCAAGGTTTGATCTTGTGGGATTTCAGTGCCTCAGCCACACCCCTTCTTTTTCTGCCCAGGTACTGAGCGAGGATAGCCAGGCTGGCCGCTACATCCATGGCATTGGCGTTCACTGGTACCTGGATTTCATTGCTCCCATCGACGACACAGTGGGGATCACCCACCAGCTGTTCCCCGATTACTTCCTGCTCTCCACCGAGAACTGTGCCGGCGCACAGTTCTGGGAGAGGGATGTGATCCTCGGAGACTGGGACCGGGGGAATCGATACAGCCGGAGCATCCTGGCGGTATGAGTTGTGGCGGGGGAAGAGAGGGAGACGGCCCGGTGTGGCTTTCGCCACTCACGTCCGCTTTTCTAATCCTGGTCCTTTCACCACCCCCCCCCAGAACCTTAATCACAACGTCATAGGCTGGATGGACTGGAACCTGGCCCTGGATTTGGAAGGGGGCCCCAACTGGGTCAAGAACTACGCGGACAGCCCGATCATTGTGGACGTGGCCAGTGACACTTTCTACAAGCAGCCCATGTTCTACCACATGGCACACTTTAGGTGAGGTGGAGCAGCGCTGCTGGGGGTTCGCTTGGCAGTATCAGAGTACCAGGAAGCGAGGCAGAGGAATCTGTAAATGCTGAGGCATTTTAATAGGCCATAAGCTAGGAACGACTACTCAGGAAGTTACCCTTTCAGTACCCGTAAGCAAGAGACCTCTATTTTTATGGGTTCTTATCGCCCTACTTCTGTCCAGAAAAGTTGCTGTTACCAAAAGATTCTTCCGAACCTGCCTTCTGCCCGGACTTTTCTATGTTTCCCTTTGGCAGGGGTGGGACTGTGGTGGGCAGCCCTCTTCTTAGAGGTGGAGACAGAGGCATAGACACAATGTTTTCCTCATTCATTGTTTTACTTGGGCACCCAGGGGACTGCAAAACTCCATACCCGTTCCATCTTCCCAGTATCCCATAATGACATGTTGGTCCGAGCTCTCCTTATCAGGCATGAGACTGGTCTTCTCGTTTGTCAGAGTTGCAGGTGTGCACCTATGCCCGGGGGACTTTTTTGCTTTCTTAGCAATCAGCAGTGCATCTGGGGCATTGCAGTGAGGGTTGATTCATTAAGTTGATTAATAGGGAGCAGAAGACTCTTATTAGCTTCTAGGAGACCCTCGACACCATGGGGCTCTGAAACTCGGTGAGTCTCAGTGTCAGACTTGGAAATTAAAATGCAAAGCACATTTTCCAACTTGCATGACAGCTCCTTTATTATGGGGGAGTATTTGCTGAAAGGGGGGGGGAACTTCAGAATATATGTCTCTTGACTGACTAATGACTACATAATGAGTACATAAACACTGTGCCGTTATTGAATTTTAATTGACTTCTTTGTGGTTTTGTGTTATAAAAAATGTAGAAAACTACACCTAATGAGTTCTTACACTTGGTGTGACAAAGAACACAAAATGTGCCTAAGAGGTACTCATGTCTTTATGGGAAAAGACTACAAATGAAATAGAGTATGAGAAGGAAAACAAGCATATTGCCATGTAAGATGCTCTTCGAGCAATGGAGCATAACCACATGGTTAAAAAACATTCCTGGAGTCATCTTAAAAGATGAGGCATATTTCTAGTACAGAGATGTCTTCTGTACTGCAGTTCCTTGTCATGGAGTGAGAAAACAACAGCAAGGAGTGGGAACACGGTACCTGGTTGGGGCCTCCCATTTCTGGCCTCAGTTGATAAGAATTCTACAGATGCACATAAATTCTTTTTAAATGTTGTAAGCCCTGAAAATCTCACAACTGGGGGGACAAGATGACACGGTGAGAGCTGGCAGAGCAGCTCAAGATACACCTGAGCAATGCTTTTGCCCTAGAGGTACCACAGGCCTGCAGAAAAATATCCTGTGACTTTAGGAGAGGGTTAATGTGTGGAAATGGGCAACTGAAGATTTTTGTGGCATGGAAGTCAAGAATGTCACCTGGTAGATGTGATGGTGGGAAGTGCCATCAAGTCACGGCCAACTTATGGCAACTCCATCGGGTTTTCGAGGCAAGAGGTGTTCAGAGGTGGTTTGCCACCCCCTGCCTCTGCATAAGCAACCCTGGGCTTCCTTGGTGGTCTCCCATCCAAATACTAACCAAGGTTAACCCTGTTTAGCTTCTGAGATATGACAAGATATGACAAGATCGGGCTAGCTTGGGCCATCCAATAACACCTCTTGAAGCCCCTTAGGGCAGGATAATTTTTACCAGACTAGTTCACAGATGCAAAAGCATGACATTGGGGAGACTACCACCAACTTCTCCCTGTTCCTTTCTGTACTCATCTTTTGCCTCGGTTTCTGAGCGCATCCTATTCTTCTGCTCTGCATTCCCTCCTGCTTTCACATCCAGTTTGTGTCGGGCTTTCTCTTGTTTCTGCATTTGTTTTACAGGAATCTGCACTCAGGCCGCTTCCAGCACACTTTTGCCCCACAGTTATCAAAACTCCTTTGGCTAAGATTCTTTGTTCTCAACTGCTTTTGAATTGCTACTCCTTTCTAAAGTAGAATTGTTTATGCCAGTATTTAAGGGCTGCCCGCTGCCCTCCCCTGTTTCCACTTCTTTGTCTTTAGTTAGGTTGACCCTCCCTCCTCATTCTGTTTGCTTTCCCTCCTGCCCTCTCATTCAGGCAAACTTAAGAAAAACCAGAGAGGGCATAAGAAGGAACAGTAAATATAAAGGACTAGGGAATTTCCTGCTCCCAAATGTGTCAGTCTTGCATGTGTGGGCCTGGATTTCCCCCTCCCTTCCCTTTCTTTTAACAGAATCACAGAGGGAGGGAGGGAGGGAGGGAGGGGTTGGGTCTGCAGTTAAAAGTTTTGAAAGATGTTTGCCTTTCTCTCTCTCAGCCAGTTAGCTCAAAAAATGCGGGTTTTGCTTGTAGATGCAGAATGCGTACAACTGCGAAGTGAACCCTGAGAAGTGAATCCTCGGATTCTCCAGAGCAAGTTGTCAGTGCAGAAAGGGACCCTGCATGCTGCAGCTGCCAAAAAAAAGAAAAAAAGAGCCAGTGTGCATCCGAGAGGCACAAAACTCCCACTGCCTGTGTGATACAAAGTCCTTGAACAAACATGAGGACTCTAGGAGCCCATGTTATGGTGGGGATGTACTAAAATGGACAGGATTGCTCATTGGAAACAACAGGAGAGGCCTGAAGGCCCAGTAGATATAATAGGAGCCAGAAATGCCAATGGATTTGCATGGGTTCCATTGAAATACATGACAGTACACAGAAAGTTGCAATAAAAATGCAGAATGGATTTTGAATGAAGGTCTCCAGACACAGACAGACTGCTCTGGGACTGGGACAATAGTCCCCGAGTGGAATGACTGCCCCTGAGAGCAGCAGAAGTGTTCTGGGACTGGGATGACAGGCCCCAGAGTGGAATGATGGGCCCTAGGAATAGAACCAGTGCTTTTGGACTGGAATGACAGTCCCTGGAAGTAGCAGAAGCAGTTATGGGGATCCCCAGTGTATGAGCTCGGAGCACAGTGTAAGACATTTTGTAGTTTGCTTTTTATTTATTTTTCAGAGGAGTAATGTAGGATCCCTTCCAACCGGCACCGGTCTCCACTGATCAGAACTGTAAAAACATTTGGGACGAGAGGATAATTGCGGATCAGAGACTGCAGCTGATGAAATCAAGGCCTATGTGCCTCCTCTCTTATACAGCCACATGTCTGCATAAGAGAACGTTTGCCCCACCCCCAGTTCTCCTGTTGTGCCCCCAGCCCCACAGCCATACAGCCCCTTTTCATTCCAGAGAAGTTAGCTCATTTGAATTTGAATTTGCCAGCAGTAGCCACCCCTGTGGCAAAACCACCCAATTAAAATGAGAAAACCCCTGCCTTGAAAGGGAGGATAGAACCCCTAGTGAAGCCAAAGGATCAGATCCCTCGCAGCTACCTGGAATGGGAGAAGGAAATAATTGTCATTAGTATACCTACAACACACAGCCAATCCCATGGAAGGTTTTGATCAGGGCAGAAACCTCGAAAATGGAAAATAGTATACTTTGCAGTGACAAAGAACTTTAAAAAGAAAAGAAAAAAAAGTCCAGCCTTGGAAAGAGTTGAATCAATCTATTAATGCCTAGTCAAGGAGCCTGGAGGAGAAATGTCAGGGCAAAGTAGGTCAGATATTAAATCACCCAAAAGGAGCTGTCAAGGGCTGGGACTAGAGCCAGCTTATTGAATGTGCAGTTGTGGGAGGGGAAGAGGGGACATGCTGTAAAAAAAAATATGTAGAAGGGAAATCAAGGTTACTTCCATCTTCAAGAGCATCTCCACCCGCCCACAGTCTACATACTAGGATGCCTGGCATATATCTGACATTTTGCAGCAAAGCCATGTAGGTTCCAAAAGGGAAACGGTATATAATTTTAAAACAAAACAAAGAAGCTCGCCTACCAAGGGCTGGATAAATGGTTTCAGACTCCCAGGAGTAATCATTACAAGCTTATCCAGTTTCTGTTTGGGAACATAAAACAGCTGGTAAAGTTTAGTTGCTGTCAAGAAGGACTTTGGGGGACTTGGCCATCTTACTCACACTAACTGTAAGTGTCCAAGGGAAGTAATGGCCTCAAAGCTGAAGCCTGGGGCTCTTCAGAAGCAGCTTCTCCTGTCAGGTAATTGCAGTTTGCAGTCAGTCACCCTGTTTGGTACTTACAGTGATCCGAGCCAGTTTGATGTAGTGGTTAAGTATGCGGACTCTAATCTGGGAGAGCCAGGTTTGATTCCCCACTCCTCCACTTGCACCTGCTGGATGACCTTGGGCAAGCCGTAGTTCTGGCACAGCTGTTCTTGAAAAAGAGCAGTTTCTGTCAGAGCTCTCTCAGCCCCACCTACCTCACAGGGTGTCTGTTGTGGGGAGGGGAAGGAAAAGGAGTTTGTAAGCTGCTCTGAGACTCCCTTGGGTAGTGAAGAGCGGGGTATAAATCCAATCTCCTCCTCCTCCTCCTCTTCTTCTTCCTCCTCCTCCTCCTCCTTACGGCACCCAGAAGCTAAGGTTGCCAGGTCAGAGATGTGTTGGGTCCCCATAATGGATATAACATCTAAACAACCCTTTCCAACTCTTTTGCATCAGCTGAAGAGATAATGACTGTGCGTTCTCCGATCACTCTCCTTTTTTGTTCCAGCCCACTGTGGGGCATTGTGCTTGCTCCAACATGGGACAACGGAAAGTGGTCAATGGAACTAGGGTTGGGAGAAACCACAACTGTATCCACTTTCTACGCAGCTTTTGGTGAGAGAACAGAGAAGCCTTCTGGGATTGCAGTCAGACAATCCTACCAAAACTGGTCCCTGGGCACCAGTCCTCTCTGGGTGCATACCAGTAGGTGCCCAAAGTACTCACATTGCCCCAATAAACACTGCACTCCTGTTGTCAGTGTATGGGTTGGGGTCGAGAGGAAGGGGAAATCAGCATTGTGTTAATAACAGCAAGTTGAGGTTTTAAATATGGGGAAAATGTTGGTTCCTTGCAACTGCAGCTGTATATGGGATGAAAAAAT